GAACTATTTATTTACATTTGATTACATTTGATTTCTGTTTGCCCAAGTTCACAAATAAAATGGTTATTTAAATGTTTATTACAATGTATACATATTTACAAATAGAAAATTTACAAAGGGAAAAGGTTGGAGCCCTACTATGATAGTTAACTTCAACATAGTTACAACTTAGGGCTGGTTCGGTAACAAGAAACCAGCCCCGTTTCTCGTGCGTCAAACAAGAAACACGGTTTCTCATGGTTTCTCGCTGTCACGCTGTGCCGAGGCAAGCTCAGCGTGACTTCCTTTTTGGGCGCTGGCTCTTAATCTCTCCCTCCCTGAGTTCTAGATAGCCTGTAAACGACTTAGTGTAGAATTTTAACTAGAACTGACACTCGGAAATTACTTGGCATTGATAGATTGGGCACGATCTCATCTGTCACAGTAATTATGGTTCTTCCTGACCCGAGACGAGCACAGGCACTTGCTGCCCTCCTTGCAGCCCACCTCCTGCAGCTCTTGCTGTATCTCTTCTTGCTAGTTCAAGATACACTACGTGCAGAGCCTATTCCATACCATACATCAGCTCTGTCTGGTCAAGCATGGGTAGATGAGTTATACAATAGCGCTCATCCAGACCGTATTCTCTCCGAGCTGGGCGTGCAGCGCCATATATTCAACATACTGATTGCTAAGCTTCATTGGCTTGGCTACTCTGCATCACGTCACGTATCCCTTGAGGAGAAACTTGCAATTTTCTTATACTCATGTGTTACAGGGCTATCAGTCCGCCACATCGGGGAACGATTCCAACAGTCAAATGAGACGATCAGCCTGTATGAACTCTGACATGTCTATATTTTGTCTCTTCTAACATTCAATTAGTTATTTTTGCGAAATTCTGACAGCTTTTTTAGGACCGGATTTCTATAACCGTTACGTTCACCTACCAACTGCAACAACACCTCTCCCTTGTATATTCTCCACCAATCCCAAATTCTCCCCTTTCTTTTACAATGCCCTTGGTGCCATTGATGGAAGTCATATTCCTTCATGGCCATCAAAGGAGCAGCGTCAGTTCCATCGTGACCGCAACGGACAAGTCTCACAGAACATTCCCTGTTGCTGTTCATTTGATATGCGATTCCAGTATGCAGTCACCGGATACGATGGCTCTGCTGCAGACGCAACGATGTTTGCCCAGTCTCGTATGGAAGATTTCATGTTACACTTTCTAGGCTGATCACTGATGACAGTGGCACATTTGATCCCATCATCAATTTCTGATGATATCATCAACCTCTACCACATCACACCAACCAACCCCAAACGAAGGCTAGCACAGCCTTACCATATTGGGTTAGATGATATCATCCATCAATCCATCAATGACTCAGACTGAGTCATATCAATCCGAGTCAGAGTGAGTCATGACGTGAGTCAGGGTGAGTCGGTATGAGTCAGAGTGAGTCAGTATTAGTCAGCCTGGAATTAGTATATAAGTAGGACGCTGGTGGCCTTCTGCCCCCAGCGCTTTTATTCTCTTTTCCCTCCTACCTCTTGGGAAATAGTCATCCGGTTGTATCATACCTATCAATACGACTTGATCTCATCATCAACCACTACGAAGTTAGATCATTTGATCATCCATTAAGTTGGCCCATCATCTGATCTGGCTTTGTTTGTGACATAATAAAAGCGCTACTCTCCATACCTCGTACCAAACCTCTACCAACAACTATCCCCTATAACACCACTATCTACCATGACTATGAAAGTCATTCTCGCATCTACTCCCCCCTTCTTCGATGGAGTTCCAATTATGTGGAACAACTTCTACGACAGTCTAACAACCTATATTGCTGCATACAGCGAGGAACTTGACACAGAGAAGAAAAAGATTTTCTTTACTGTCTCATTCCTGAGAAAGGCTGATGGATCTACCTGTGTGGCAGCTGACTGGGTACGTAACTGGAAGAAACGCACACTCAACTCTGATAGTACTCTCCGCGCATCCTATACCTTTACCGAACTCATTCAGGAGCTTGAATCTGCATTTGGAGACAAGAACCTCACACAGATTGCTCACTTGAAACTCACAAGCAGCCATCAAGGGCGCTTGACACTTGTTGAGTTCCTCCAGCAGTTCGAGATTCAAGCAGAACAGGCTGGTTACTCTCCTCACGTTGAGGACACTACCTATGATGCCTTTCTGATTGAACTCTTGGAGACCAATGTGAATGAGGAGATTACAAGTCAGATCTATGTTGGTGGTAATCCTCTTCCAACCACTTACAAGTCTTTCAAGGACCGTCTCTTGCAGATAGATGGAAATCTGCAGAGAGGTAAACTTCGGAATAATAACAAGAATTCAACAACTGGATTCCATAAGCTCAGAGTCTTGCAACCTACCCCTCGACTGTTTGCACCTACCCCTGCTACTATACAACACTCGACTCCCAAGACTCTGAAGCCTGTTCAGGACCAGGTTGTACCAATGGATGTAGACAAGCAAGGTCAGATGAGAAGACCTGTGACTTGTTTCAATTGTGGCAAGATAGGCCACATCAGTAGGAATTGCAACGAGCTTCGACGCACTGGTCTGAATTTGCGGGCTTTGTATGCCCAGATTGACCAGTTGGATACTAATAGTGATATTTTGCAGAATTTAGCAGCTAAACTTCGTGAACGGGGTTTTTGAAGCGCTCAGTGCCTAAGGCCGAGGTTACTGAGCATAGGTTTGGAAGATACACAGCACTTCAACAGTTACAGGATACAGATATTGTTGATGAACAGGTTAGTGAATCAAAGAATGATTTTTCTAAAACAGGTATCTCCAAAGTAAGGTCTCGGAAAGCAAGAATTCGAGTCCCTAAGGCCAATTTCAGACAGCATGAACCAATAAATCCTGAAGCTAAAAAGGGGAGTGCAGCTCCGATGGCTCAATCCTTGGATAAGGAGGAAGCGCCAATACCATTATACAAACACACAAGAACTCCCAATACCATCCGTATCCGTGAAGCAATACGTAAGCAGATGCAACCAAAGCCAAAACCCGATACTCTTACTCAAGAACTGAAGCGGTTCTATAAGGAAAGGAAGCAACATGAGTTCATGCTTCCAATATCCTTAACTACACTTGACACCAATACTACTCGCTCAGTCAATGCCTTACTGGACTGTGGATGCAACTCTACTTGCATTGATAGAGAGTATGCCAAGGCACAGAAGCTTGAGCTGAAGGAATTAGCAGTTCATATTCTTCCCAAGAATGCTGATGGAACCATAAATGCTCATGGAAAGATCACTCACTATGTTGATCTACAGATGAGAATAGGTTCTCACCAAGAAGTGCAAAGGTTCTTGGTGACTGGCTTAGGGAAGGCACGGGTATTTATTGGCTATGATTGGTTGTTAAAACATAATCCAACGGTCGATTGGCGTCGCAGCACAAGGTCACATTTACTGGTTGTCCGGCAGAATGCAATATGACTGGAACAGAATATGGCACAGGATGTGATGACCCTATAACAGAAGAGGGTGACTCGATTCTTCTTGTAGATTTTACCCCTGCTCTTGATATTCGGATGAAGGAGACACAATCTCAACGCATGGCAGAGGAAGCTAGTAAAGACAAGACTCCAGTGTCAACAGAGATACCAGAACAGTATGCACACCACAGAACTGTATTCTCTAAGGAGTCTTTCGATACACTACCTGACCGAAGGCCATGGGATCATGCAATCGAACTGAAGCCTGGAGCAAAGGCTGTTGATTGCAAGGTCTATCCTCTCTCACCTCTGGAGCAGCAGAAGTTAGATGAATTCCTGGAGGAGAACTTGTCGTCTGGACATATCCGTGGATCCAAGTCCCCTATGGCATCCTCATTCTTCTTTGTTAAGAAAAAGGATGGAACTTTTGCGTCCGGTCCAAGATTATCGGAAACTGAATGAAATGACTATCAAGAACCGATATCCATTACCTTTGATTTCCGAGCTTGTGAACAAGCTTCAAGGTGCACATTACTTCACCAAGCTTGATATTCGCTGGGGATATAACAATGTTCGAATTCAAGAAGGTGACGAGTGGAAGGCTGCATTCCGGACAAATCGGGGCCTATTCGAACCACTTGTTATGTTCTTTGGACTCACAAACTCCCCTGCGACATTTCAAACTATGATGAATGACATTCTACGAGATCTCATCAATGATGGTCATGTTGTTGTATATTTGGATGACATCCTCATTTTCACCGAAACTTTGGAACAGCATCAACAGATTGTCAACCGTGTTCTGACAATTCTGGCTCAATATAAACTGTTTCTCAAGCCGGAGAGGTTTTAGGGCAGATCAAACAGCCTTTTCTAGACCAGCTTTTGTATCAAAACAGGGGCCAAAAATCTTTATGTATATTCACTTATACGATATATATCAGGGCCCTGGACCATAAGCTGGTCTAGAAAAGTGTGTTTGATTTGCTCCCAAACCAGGTGACAAAACTGTGTCCGTTTATAGCATCTATTTCTCATATAAGCAGGCAAATATTGAACAATTTTTTTTGGGTGCAAATAGAGGTATAAATTTTTTTCTTTTTTTGGTGCATGGATTTTAAGTATATAATCGATCGAAAGGGGCACTGTTTATTCCCAAACTCTTGCAGTGTATTTGTGAACTTGTGCAAACACAAATTAATCCAACTAAAGAAAAAAATAATTTGAAATAAATAATTCAAATACTTTTCACTCCAACAGACTCAAATCAGTATCAATAAGTAGTGCAGTAACACTGCAGTTCAAGTATTTCTCAACCTTAACAATGGCAGACTTGGTTACTCTCTTGAAAACAATATTTCATCACTACTAGTATACAAATGGATCCACTCTTATCAGATATGTCAAGCATTTGTCAACTACTTATTCTTACTGAGCTCACAATCAGGTCTAAGTATAACTCTCCCATCGATATTCACTTATAATCATTTTGGATTTTCTACCAATTTGAATCACTTCGACATATGATATTCAGGAATCACTTTTGATCCAGGTTGGGTTGCCAGTGGTCCCGCACCCCCAATCACCAGAGTACGAATAGACATCTACACACTTGCGTTTTCCGTCCCACACCGCTACCAGCCCCAGGATGTCATCCACAGCTTGTATGCTGACGTCGCGCGCATCGACGCTGCCGCCTAGAAAATGCATAGTTTGCAGCTCGCTCTCCCGCTCCAGCAAGCGCGCCATTCCCAGGGCATGTGCTCCGCCTGCAGAGGGCGACGAGAACACGAGGTACCGCCCCGAATACCCCGCCACGTGATAGTCGCCCAAGGTCTCAAACAGCAGGGAGTCCGAGGTAGGCCCGTGTGCTGTGCCCGTGAGAAAGACAAGATAATTTCGCCGCCGGCGATGCTCCGCACCGGGAACGCCTAGTTGAATGAAATGGCGGCAGAAGCGAGCGACGGCGCGGACGCCGAACTTGGCATGGGAGCTGAAAGTAGTCGCGGAGCCGGAGGAGGACCCAGATTGGTACTCACGCGGGCCATCATCATAGCTGTGTGAAATGGTTGTTGTCGTCATCGGGGCCGCGGGATCGATACTGCCGTCGACGGGACGTATGGGGATGCTGTACACCACGGACTGGTCGTTGTTGATCACCGATACAGGGGAAAGTCCGTAAAGGATTCCGCTGCCCGCGTCGAAGCTTAGTCCTACCATTCGGACCTACGTGTTAGCAGATGAGGGGAACATCAATGCTGGGCCGACATGGGATATGCTCACCGTTGGTCCCGAAGCCTGAGAGAAAGGGTACTGGATCGAGGAGACGGGCTGAGACGAATCCATTGGCCAACACAGGAGGCTCACTGCCTCTACCGTGAACGCAGGCCCGCGACATGCAATTCCCATGAGTTTCTCGGTGAGGAAAATGTCCGCAGTGTGGGGTGTATGCCGTGCTTCATGTATGATACGGGGAGAGACGACCGTCGTGATATTGATGTTCTTGAGGTCGCTTAGATCAATGCGGATTACCGCAAGAGACTCAATGACAATTCCATTATGATGCCCTGCCAGTGGGCCTCTGAGCCGAGATCAGTGCGTAAAGAGACGAAAATAAACTGGAACATACGACTCCAGGACCACGGCACTGAACAGAACATCCGAGCCGGACGAGACGCAATTCGTCCCGAGGATACGCAGACGATCAAGTGTAGTACTCGCAACTAAACGGGCATGAATCACGTCCCAGCATTCAACTCTTCCCGGCGCATTGGTAAGAAGAAGGCGGGTTCCAGGGATAAAGAACTTGAAATGGCCCTCAAGGAGAGGACTTCCAATACTCTGGATGCGCTCCAGTCGGGGGCTGGAAGATGCTAGATTGCGTAGAATTCGGGCCGCACGGTGAGCCATGGCTTTGAGCTGGGCACGCGGCAGCGCGGCGACGTCCCCAGTCGACAATACGACAGGATGCATTTGCACGCCTTCGATTCGCCGGATGCAGTTGATCCACAGCGCGGGTTCTTCACTGAGGGCACGAATCCAGTGGCAGGTCTACCAGCTGCATTCAGTCTCAATCACTCATGAAAAAGAAGGACCTCAATCACCGCCAGCAGACTCAGCAGATCCTCGACATCTAGCAGCGTGGCGAACGCGAGGAGGATATCAGACGGTAACTTGTCCATGGTGTACAGAACGCTCGACATGGGCGTTTTTGACAAGTGGCGGATGGCTGTGCTGCCACACGTGGCTGCTGAGTCAGGCTTCCATCAAGTCGCGTCATCACTCATCACAACAACTAAAAGAAAATTCACTTCCTGCCTTTAAACAAAATGCTGCGTTTACGTGGTACCAACCCGTCCACGCACTGTGAACTTGACTTCGAAGCTAATTATACGAACTTAGGTTTCCTCTCCTTCTAACATGAATCATGATTACTTCTATCGAAAAAATCCAGTCGCAGCCTGAGTGTGGTATTTCAATTTTCGGCTAACGGCGGGCGGTTCGAGAGATTGAAGAGGACCGAGGTAAATTGGTATTAGAATTCAAATGACTCTTACAATGGCGTAGACTGCGAGGATAGTTACGACTGAATCCCGTCTTCCTACATCAACTTGAAGAGAAAAGTGCAGTTTTAGCTCGATTTAAAGACAGACAGCAAGCCGCAAGTAGAATCGGACCCCATCCCAGCTAACGCCTTCCACAAGGCGCAGATGGTCGAACCTGAGGCGCGGGCCAAACTGCATTGTGGTCGGAACAGCGCTGTTGCCACTGTACAGCGATTTGTTGACGCCGACATGCGTCATGCCATGGCTTTGCTGGCTCAATGATCAGCTTTATCCTCCGGAACAGAACATCAGGATCACGTACATGAATGAATCCCTGGACCGCGCGAGCAGCGAGACGCCCAAACTCGAGGCGCGTGATGGTCTTGTGAGGCTCGGGGGCCAGATCGATTTCCAAGCGGAAGGATCCGGCATATACAGGCCACTGGAAAGCACCGTCATCGTCCTGCTACGATAGAAGGACACAAGGACCTACCTCCACAATGATCGTCGCTCTGCCTAGCGTGACTGCTTCTTTCTCTGCAACATCGTCCGCAATGCGCCGGGATGGGTTGACCATGAATTTATCGCCACCGCCCCGGGTCGAGGCGTTCGCTAAGTCGGCAAGGCCAACACCGATGTTATAGGGCCCACAGGCTAAGGAGGGACGGAAGGGGATGACGATAGGCGCATACCCGGTCAGCGACACGAGCTGGTAGTCCTCGGCATCATCGATATTGCCTAGGTTTGCATCGCGAGGGACAGCCCAAGGCTGAACGATGCTCGGTACAAAATATGTCGGCTTTTTCGGAAGGAGTATGTTCTGCAGATAGCTCATCAGTTGCTGTAGAAAATAGACAGATCAGAGAAACCGCCTACCTGGGGGTGGTCGAAATACCTTCCCATACGATAGGGCCTCATGCCACCGAGGGAGCCAGAACTAGCTTTCCCGCTGAAGACTTCCGCGAGCAAGACCTCGAGAGCGCTGTTCTTCGGTTTAGTCCCCGCAACTGCTGCTGTAGCGTGGGAGCCCGCCGGTGTAACGCGGCGGGGGGAAGAGATGAAGATGACCTGCGCGGGATCCTTCTTTCCTGAGCGCGGCGTCTTCGCAACGACAGGGTCAGAGACGTGGCGGCGGGAGGGGGTACAAGGCGGGGCGATCTCCGCTGGGGTGCGACGGGCTTCCCCGCCGTCTTTCGGGAGTTGGCCAGGAGGGAGAAAGGCGCGGTCGGTGCGTGGCAACGGCTGGGTTGCATTGCGTGGGGCATAAGGAGCGTGTGCGTTGACGGAGCGGAAAGGCGTCGAGGGCAAACCGAGCCCAAGGCGGGGCTAGTGCGACTGGTCAGAACGGGGGAGCCTTTTCGGGACTCGTGAGCGCACCTTTCTCGGCGTCATCGGTTGGGTTTTGACGTTGCTGGAGAGTTCGTCATTGAGTTCATTGTGGGTATCTTTGCCGCTTGTCAAGGAGAGGTGGTGATTCATCTTGTGTGATGTATTGCGGATAAAGCTGTCCAACCAGTGGATTCGCGAGGAAAACTTGAACGAGAGAGTGTGTAAGGGGGTTTGCAGGGGAGGGAGATGTGGCATTGGCAGGAGCGGCGTTCCTTATATAGGCGATGTAGCCTTCCAGTAACGTGGACCGACAATGCGGACGCAGGCCATGCACATCGACAAAGCGCTAGGCCGCGCTTTGTCGGGTTGGTCCATCGGATTAATTATAAGTACCTGCGTATGTGTAAGTCCACGATTAGATTATGCGGGAAGAGAGAGGAAATTGCACATAGAAAAGCCGGAATGGTTGCCTTGCGTTTGTGTTTGGGTGTTATTCTATGCGACGTTGGTCAAAGGTGTGTCGCAAAGAAACATTCTCTGCTCTTCAAGTTCGTCAGCGCATCCGGGACTTGTGTTGTTTTAATGAACCAGGAAGACACCAAGTAATGTGTCCTTCGAAGGCCCCAGTCGTCCTAGAAGATTTCCTCAGGCGTCCGTTGCAAGTTGACATCGTCTCGGACCTGCATGTGGTGGCGGGAGACAACCCGATTCGATTACACCGCCGGCATTTCATAGCCTCCCGGAAATCCGGGAGGCTACGGGCACCCCAGGGCTCAGACGCAGGCTGTTAGACTTGCGCTCGGACCAACTCTTTCAGCAATTAGTTGCCGAATGACAGTGTGGGCCGGTGGCGCGGCCGCCACGTGTAGGCAAGCCTCGAGTTCTTTGTTCGACTACGATGACGAACAGCGTGTTGGCAGCTGAAAGACTGAAAGAGTCTCTTTCAGCGGCCCTTTCCTTCCTCCTCCTCCACTGCAAATCATCCAGAGCTCAATGGCACGATCAAGCCCGACAAAGACACCGGGTTCATCCCGCCCAAGTGCGGGCCGACAGCTGCCTTCACGCGGGGCCAAGAAATCTCGGCCTGGTCCATCCAAGTCATCGACGGGGACTGCTGCAGGCGATACAGCCATGGAGCAGGACTCGGACCCTATGGTCCAGGGGTCCAGTCCGAGTCCGAGTCCCTCTCAGTCTGCCCACCGCCGCAAGCGTACGCATGCCGACATGGAGGGTGGAGGCAGAGGCAGCGGGGACGGCAGCGGGGGTGGGGACGGTCTTGGGGACGGTGGGGATGGTGCTGGAGGCAACAGCGAGGGAGATGCGTCGAAGCAACGTGCACGGAAGAAGCAGAAAACCGCCGAGGAGGAGGAGGAGGAGGAGAGGGAGGCAGCACGAAAGCGGAGAAAGAAGCGCTCGCAGCCTGAGCGTATTGCAGACGATGATTTGGATCCTGCACAGCGGTCAATTCAGGTATGTTCTATATGGGCTACGTTTTATCTGTATCTAACAATGTCTAGCGCGGTCTAAATACGGTTTTACACATCCTCCTTGGCATGAAGTCCGCCATGGACGTTCCCGACGGACCATCTGCTGCTGAGCGTGCTCACTTTCGCCGTCGTTTCACATCTCCGGATGACTGGGAAGCCCAGCTGAAGACGATCAGTGGAACAAATGAGCGCGCAGATGATGCCTCGCGGGACCTTCTCAAGGCTTGTAGAACTGGCGACAACCGCAAGATGGGAATTAGTCAGGCTATCCTGAAGGTTCCCCGCGCGCAGCTCCAGGTTATTCTGGGCATGTATTACAACTCGGGTCTTATACGATTTGCTCCCGACTACGACGATGATTCAAATAGCATATACAATACTTTTCATCAAGATCTCGCCATTGAAATCTTCCAACGCGTCGCTGTTCGCGCTGCATTTTGGCGCGGCAGTATCGACCTTACGTCCTTGTCAGACTCAGAGTTTCTTGGGCGCCTCTACCGCCACTACTTCTGGCACGTCATCAAGCGCAATGCTGGAGCAAAGGAGAAGGGGGGCCTAGAGCGAGATCGAGATATACGAAACTCAAAGAACCGGCGTAAAGATGTGAGTCATGTCTTTTTGAGACACCTTGACTCAACCCAACCGATGCCCAGAATGCGCACCGCCGTACCCAGGCAATACTTGATGATGGCTGGGGTGAGACAGTCGCCAATCTGGCCTTCGAACCTTGTGCGCACAGTGATGACGAGTTCATTGACGGTGAATACATCATCAATCCTCGCGAAGAGCGCAGCGAAAATGCCACCGACTTCTTCCGCTATCATGACACAGACCATATCAAGCTTATGTCTGCAACTAATAACGGCTACAGTCTTCGCACCGAAAACTTCCCGAAATGGCAGACCCAAACTACAAAGGCCTGCTCAAGCATGAACGGCTTCCACGCAATGTTCCAATTGACTACTTTAAACCCGAATTCTATAACGAACTTCCTGCTCGGCTTCGCGCACACTATTACCAGAATGGTGTTGCTCTTCCTCATCGCCGTCATTGGGTTAATGGCCGTGTCCCAGCATCCTTCAAGGAATTAGATGGTGAGGAGTGGGACAAGATAGAGGCAGAGGTTTTGGAGGAGTACAAGGTCCCCTCTGATTTGGAGATGAGTCGTATGAACTTGGACGATCTTTTTGATGATCCCCAGTTCAATGCAAAGGAGGAGGGGGATAGTAACAGTGAGGAAGATGATGAGGAATATAACTAGATCTGGTAAAATCTGATAGAATATGCCAAGTTTTTTTTTTCTGTTCATTACTATATACTTCTATAATTCTTGGAATTGGTTATAGATGACTTTTCTTATATAACAAAGTGTTTAGAGCCGTAAAGGTAGTACTTAAGTAAGCAGTAAACATGGTATATATGATGAGATGATTATGCAAAGTTATTTTGATCAGTTGACCAACCTTAGATTGCCATGCAGAGCAAGGAATCATTATCTCATTCAGAATCCAAAAAAGGAAATTTTCAATCAGATAGAGCTTGAAACCTGGTGGGACATTGGGGGTATAAATTTTATATACTAGAGGTTTAAGATTGATATGGATATGTGTTGTTGGTATATGGTTAAGCTTAGAAGTTCATGCCAACTAAGATATTCTTTTCAGAATAATACAGCTAATTATTAGATATAATATTTGCATATGTGGACATATAGTTAAGGGCTCAAATGATATCACATAGTTAGATGATGACTAGTAGGAGCTAAATTGCCTATCAACCTGGATCTACCATGTATTATTACAATGCATTGCACATAACTTCAAATCCTGAAATATTATGATAGCAAGATAA